AGATAATTATTTAAGAATGTAATTATGTAAGAATGTTAACACTCTGTTATATTTTTTTAGTATATTACTTGTGTGGTGTAGAAGAGAATTATCTATGTAGAGATACTGCTTGCAAACCAATGATGGTAAGATGATGTCATGGGGTAGGACTGGATAAGTCTGACTTCTTCCTACTCCATTCAAGCATGTACTAGGTATAAGCAAATTGATATTGGATTAGCATTTGTTGGATATGTGTGAAATTATGTGTGTTGACATATCAACTGTCTTTACATGTTTGAAAGAATAAATCAAATCAAATCAAATCAAATCAACTTTGTTGATATTTTTGTAACCTCTGAATTGTAAATCAAGTATTTTTTATGTGTTTTTTTTTTTTAATAAAATGCCAAAACATTTTATGGCTCCAACTCCCAAAGGTGATAATTTGCTGCATTTCTTTTAATTATTGTCATTTATTTTTAATTTTGAGGTTTTCACAAAACAAGCATAGTGAAGATATGACTTTGGGCTCTTATTGGATTTTTACAAACCAAATTAGTAACTGAGCAAATAATCAATACATTAATTGGCAATTTAAAAAAAATAGCAATATAAAATAAGGGAACATTTCTGTTATAAATGAGAAATAACGTGAAGGATGCCACAGCTCACCTATCAGAGTGTCACCATTTTTATTGCATGCAATGTGTCAGTACAAGTGAGACATGTTGAATAATTATCACTATGTAAACAGAAGTGATAGCTGATGGATTCCAACGGGACTTCTGACCTCTTTCTTCTCATGCACTTCCCATCTCCCTTTGTCCTCCACATTACTGAAGGCCACACATCATGCAGTTTCTCATATACCCTGGACATACTGGAAACTTTGTGAAGGTGTATGTGTAAGTCTCTGGCATCTAGACACTAAGAGATGGCAATTTTCAAATGAATGAGAAAAACATTCAGGCTCCAAACCAGACTGTATTTATCTGCAAAGCTTGGAAACTTTCTTCTCCATCTGACATTTCCTGAGGTTTACCATCATTAGCTACAATGAAAAAAGACAACAAGAAGACAACATTAGCATCCAGTCTGTGCTTATGTCTGTTCAGTCACCAGGTTCTTAAAGCATTTCATCCTGTGCTTCATCTGCTACTGACGAAAAGCGACCAAAGGTCTTCATACATCCAACAGAATTGAAATATTTCACATTTAATTTATATTTTGCATTGTTGGCTTGTGATACCTTGTTATGACAATGTTTAGTCATTTGTCTACTACTTATGGACTTTCTGTGGCATGCTGTATAAAGACACTGTGCAGAGTAAAAGTGACCTGACCCAAATGAATCATGATGTACCTGAATGGCAAGAAGCAAGGACCCTGCCCCCCACACACCTCCAGGATAGCTGCAGTCAACCTACATTAGCAAACATATGGCTAACGTATGGCTCATTCTTGTAAACACAATATGTCAGGAACGACTTGAGGGAATTTCTTCAAATTTGGCACAAGTATCCACTGGGACTCAAAGATGAACTGATTAGATTTTGGTGGTCAAAGGTCAGTGACATCACTTGGTTGGTCTGAAGCCACTAACCATGAAGGGGTAATGCTATTTATTTATTTTTGTGCATAAAAATAATGAATAAGGGTGAAGTTTGTAATAGATTATTTTGAAGCAGTGCAATGGAATTCAGCCATCATTAAAGCTAATGATGTCAGTTTATTGAGGTTATGCAGCCTACCCTGTCCCCTTTTTTATGCCTCCACACTGGCAATAGCTGTGGCCAGAGGCGTTATGTTTTCAGGTTGCCTGTATGTCTGAACTCCTAACTGTCAAATTCCCATGAACACGATAACTCGAACACCTTGAGGGAATTTGTTGAAATTTGGCACAAACATCCATTTGGATTCAATGATCAAGGTCACAGTGACCTCACATCTATCCCATTTACAGAAATTGAACTGGTTGGTGGAGGCAACTTATTTACTTATTTCCATTTTATGTGAGTGTGGACATTGAAATGGGACCTTAAAAGACAGAATAATGCAGTTAATGGAACTTCTTTGTTGCTAAAACCAAGCCCTCAGGGACACCTCTGGGCTGTGAAGCAAATCTACTGTCATTGCCAAACCACTTTACTACAATTTTCATGTTCATCACATGAAAACGTTTTTCTCACGGTGAGTCATGGGAAAAGGAGTGGCTGTAAAACGCTGAACACATTTTTAAGAGTGTCACAAACCTGCCAGCGTTTACCGGTACTGCTGCTGCGTATCAACAGCTGCTTGTCATGCTACTGATAACGTTTCACTGTCAGATTAGAGGTGAAAGTACTGTAGTTTAGAAACACATGTCCATTGCTGGTGAAGTGGATCAGGTGGCCGGGGGAGGTGTCTCTGTATTTCTGTCCTCCCCAGCTACATACATGAGAGGGTCAGGATATTAAGAATGCCTCTGAATTTAATGTAGTCCACTACAAAACCACTTTTAATTATGAGATCAGTAATAAACATATAATTGAGTTTATAAATTTATGACAATTTCACCAAAAGCTGAAACATTCTGAGCTTCATAAACACAGATGTTAAGGAGGAAGTGTTGCATTGAAGTGCATACAATTGTACAGGTGTACCTAATAAAGTGTCCAGTGAATGTATATATGTAGCTTATTTTTTATTACTATGTATGAGTCTTTAATATAAATACATTTTACTAAGTATATATTTATTTTACTGTGTATTGTATATTTATCATTTTGACACCAAAAATTTGTTCTGGATAAATAAAGTGTGATCCTATTTAGCATATATGCATAATTGGCGTGAGTTTCATGATGCAGTAATATTAATGTTAAGCATTTACATTTTATTGTGTCTATGCCACTTTTTTGTTTCTTTGACCTTGTGCAGGTGTGAAGTAACTCCACACCAGCCCATTAAATTAGTTCACCCAATTTTACACAAAATAAGGTGCACAACTAGCAGTATCCAGCCCATGAGACAAACGCCTATCATAAAAATGAAATAATTCATACATCTATAAAAAGATCTTTAAAATGTTAATGTAATTTTCACACATCTAGTCCACTGACTGCAGTTAAGAACAAGTGATAAACTGTGTGATGTAGCACCTGTCGATGTTTGGCTCTTATCCAAACGACATGCTTGTGATTTTCCAAGAATGCAAGTTCCTCTTTAAGCATTTCAAACCAAGTAAACATCATGTTAAAATTATGTAGGTATTGCATCGCAGCGCCATTACATGACCATAATTTCTCAAGAAAATATGATTGAGATTTTCTGTACTGCAGTTGATATTATGAGCAACTGATTAAGCCTGATACAAGTATTGTGACATGGGTCATTACACTAAGTGGTATGATGTATACTTTGAGTAGTAGTTCACATTGTAATAGTGGGATCTGAATATATGAATGTAGATTATTGGATAGGATAGGAATATACTGTAGATGTTCATGGTCGTTTCTGTACCAGAGAATGAAAGAGGAGAATAGCACCAGTAATACGATAAAACAATTTATATATACAAACACCAAACGCATTATGGTTGAAATTGAATTAAAACAGATGGCAAAGTAAAAGCAGAAATACCACACTAGTAGTTTGTTCACAGTGTCACTGAAGGATAAGTATCGAGGTAGCAGCAACAAGATGTACTTAAAATATTAAACACAAGTTGCATAAAATAGAAATACTCATGACCACACTAAGTGCCTCAAAACTGTATTTAAGTACAGTACCAATAGAAATAGTACTACATGTAGTCTAGCAGTATTACTTGTAAAAGCAGTAGCAGTAATAGAGTACAATACCAACATAGTAATTGTAGATGAATTATCATCTGAAATTTACTGAAAACTAAAAATAAATTCATTTTACATGGAAAAAGTTTACAATATGTGAACTGGTGTTTTTCTGTCCAAACTGCACGCTTAGGCCAAACCCTGTGAATAATTACAGTCCAATTGTTATTTCGCTAAGATCAATCTTCAGATAGCAGTGTTTGCTGAGTGTCAGTGGCCACAGAGTCATAAAACCAAAGCATGCAGTGTGGGCTGCATCGCGAGGAGGACCTACCTGTCAACAGGCTACTTGAACGCCGTCTGGCATCATCTTCCACATCATTCAGCGCAGCAGACTCCTACAGACATGTTCACAATGCTGTTTGCACCTGTTTTACTTTTATTTGCATCTTCCATGAAGATTGTCTCGGGAGCAGGTATGTTGCCTAAGGAATGAAAACAAATCAATCGACTTCAACTGTACAGAATGTACATAGATATGTTTAGATGTGTAGTGTTTTGCTAATGAATGAGCTGCAGGATGCCACTTATTATTCACCTTATGGCAAAAGTATTTGGGCTTGTTTGTTACAAAGAAAACATTTCAAACATTTGCTTCTCATAATTGGCTCTACAAAGAAATTATTCTTCAGCTCCAGGCTTGAGTTTGTTCTTTTTCTGTTAAATAACTTTTTTCCAACCTGTTGTTCTAGAGTGGTGCTACCAGTCCCAGTTTAGATGCGATCACACCTGCACAGGTAAATGTCAAGACAAGCCACTGACATTTAGAGTGTAAATAAAAAAAGATGGAATGTACTATTGGAGCCATTCTTTCTTACTCTTGCCATCACAGTTCCAGACTCATGGGGAAAGTTGCATCATCAGTGCAGCGGTGGAGCTCAGTCTCCTGTCAACATTGTAACAAGAAGTGTGCAAAGAGATGAGCATCTTATTCCTTTTAAGCTCACTGGCTATGAAAAGAAGCTTCATGGTCATCTCATAAACAACGGTCACACCAGTAAGTCTTTGTGATACAGTAACTGAAGTTTTCTCTGGAAAAGAGGATTTGGTAAGAATGTAGTACATCTCTGTGCTTCTGGGTGATTTAAATCATCTGGACTAAAGTAAATTGGCTGTAAAGCCATTAACTTACTCATAAAACACTGGGATAATGATCTTATATGGTACAAGAGGTGATTGATAAGACAAATGTTCTGCAGCCCCGTGTCCCCTGCTATAAAGTGACTCCCACAAGATATTAAATGTGCAAAAGCCTGAAAAAGCTGCAAACATTGTTAATCTAAAAACCTGCAGTGTAGTCAAATCTAAAAATGTCTATGATCATGGATGGATCACTGAACGGGGACCGGCCCAGGGGCTCAAGAGGTCAGAAGACAACCACAATAAGATGCAAAAATAATTTTAATCGATGGAAAACAACCATCAAGTTTAGTAAAATGACCTAAAGTGAGATGCAAAGCAATTTTAAAGAAATGAAAACATATGAAGTATATATGCAAACAAGTCACTGTATTTTGTGCATCTTTTGTGTGTCTTGCTGGGCACGGCAATGTTTATACAGTATGTCTGTACATAGGAGCCCATTGTTTCACAATCAGACCATGTGCAACCATCAGCACAGAGGTCTTCATTGATCTTTTTTAAATTTCTATTTTATCGTATTTTTTGCATGACTTTTTCAATGATGACTTTTGTAGTTCAAATGGATTTGCCCTCCAGTTTAAAGATCGAAAGAGGAAATCTGACTGTGCCATACAAGGCACTTCAGTTTCACCTGCACTGGGGCAAGAACGGAGGACCAGGGTCTGAACACACCATTGATGGAGAACAGTTTCCAATGGAGGTATGAAATATGGGGATGGAAGTGTGTTATAATCAGCTCTACGTGTTTATAAAAAAGCCATTTTGTGTGCACTGTGCTCAAAGAAATGAAAAATGAATTACTGTACCACAACAAGTAACATTAACATAGTATTTTATGCCAAACAGATGCATGTTGTTCACATAAAAGAAGAATATGATTGTTTATCCCAGGCAGCAAAAGACGGCACAGGTGTGGCTGTTCTTGGATTTTTCTTCCAGGTACTTTTGTCTGAGTATCTTGCAAAAAATGTTGCTATAACTAACATAAAAACTGGAGAAATAGGAAAAATCAAGAGATTAAAGCTATACACTCTGAATCTTAAGAGATGTTTGGTAAAAACTGACTTATGAAAATCAGTGTAGGTTCAGAAACTGAAAGAACATCCTGCATCTCAGACTGTAAGGTTCAGGTTTGATCTCAAAGAGCTCACAGTAACTGCAATTGTTCCTGTTAGACTTGATCAACTGGCATCAGACACCTGTGCATTTTAAAGCATCACCTTGACTGAAAGCTATTTAAAGGAAAGATGGAAGATTATATTGATATAATTGTTGCCGAAGTGGTAAATTAAATTTAAGAAGAGGTCCTCAGTTATAAGATGCACCTTTTGTGAGTGTTGGTAATGGAATTTGTCCAGATAGCGATCAACTATAACAAAAAAGTAAATGGCCTTTATTATCATTACCCCAGGACTTAGATTTTTTTGCCTTTATTGAAAAAGAGTGGGCATTCTTTCTGGAGATGAATGACTCTCCAGAAATCTCACCCTCTCTATTATGGGAAACAGGCAAAGCAGTAATCAGAGGAAAAATAATATCATACTCATCGTACAAAAAACTAGAACTGGAAAGTGCCTTAGAACATAAGATAAAACAACTCACAGATTTACTTTCCCAAAACGCTAGCGAACAAACACAAAATTAACTGAGCGAACTGAAAAGACAACTTGAAAATATTAGAACTTTGGCCAGTGTAACACACTGTGAGAAAGCGCTATATAAATACAGTCCATTTACCATTAATCTTTCAAAACCAAACTAAATCCATAATTTTATCACTGGATGCACAGAAAGTATTTGACAAAGTTAACTGGACATTTCTCTTCTGTACATCCATTGTCTTGTCCCCCATGTCCATACTTGTTTTGTTAATGTGTTAATTTGTTTCAATAAAAAAAAAAGTAAATGGCCTAAGGGTCACATGCACACAAGCACACACCAATAGTTTAGAACTGCCAACATTATCCAGCTGACAGATTAGATGGTCCTCTCACCATCGACAAACTCCAATAAAGCACTGATTTCAATGCCAAATAACAAATCACCCGGACCTGATGGACTCCCAGCTGAATATTTTGGCAAACGCTATCACCAGCCTCTGGTCCCCACAATGTGAGTGTATTAACAGGTTTCAGTCCCCATAATGTAAGTAATACAAAGGGACATACCCATAATTAAACAGAGCAAACACTGTAAAACAAAGATTTCACTTGAATTTTCAGTCATCAGTTACTAAAAACTTTACTGATGGCAGTATTACTGTAATTTGATGAGAAAGACATTCTTGAAATCTTTGTAGATCACAGCAGTAAACAGAAATAAAACCTTTATGAGGTCAGTGTTTAATGCCAAATCTACTTTGTTCTGTTCTGCTGCATAAAAAGAACAAAAGGTTTAGCAGGGCTACATAAATCCTTCTATACATTTACTATTCTGACATAACTCTGTCATCCGGGCACACAAAGCATAGGTTCATCATCCAGAGCCATCAGCACATTGTCGTATGAGCATTCCTTCAGTGAGAAGCCCAGTGCCGAGTATGAACCAAATAGGACAGTATGTCTTACAAAAATGTTTTTCCTGATTAGTAAGTAACTTGAACATTTTATTCTTTCCTTCCAGGAACACCCATCTGCAAATAAGAAATTTGATCCGCTTATAGATGCTCTGAAAAATATCACCTACCCCAGTAAGTCACGTCTGCTGACATGGAAAATAGAAACTTCTGCTTCATTATGTTTCAGCTACATTGTCCACAAGGTCCTGAACACACTGCTGATTGTTCCTTTGTCATAGTGCAATCGTTATGAGATCAAAGCTGATTGTTCCTTTGTCATAGTGCAATTGTTATGAGATCAAGTCATGCCAGGGTCATGCCAACAGTTAATGAGTATAGTGTAACTGTATTTATTGTTTAATAATTGTTACTTCACTGTCTTGCTAATGTTTTATAAAACCAGCCAACAGGACGACACTGAGGGGGGTGTCCCTGGACATGTTCCTTCCTTCTCGGGATAATTTGACCAAGTACTTCCGCTATGATGGTTCCCTCACGACACCTAACTGCTCCGAAGGTGTAGTCTGGAGTCTGTTTGAAAGTACAATTCCTCTCAGCAAGGAACAGGTTGTTATTTTCATAATACTGTATAAACTGTCCAGAGGAGGAAAATATATTTGCTAAAGTACTGCACTTGACATTGAGGTGGTGGCTTTGGAGCAGTTCTGTTTAGAGAACACTACTCTTTTACTCCACAAATGTACCTGATTTCTGTACTTTACAATTCAGATTTAGATATCTGCTTCTTTAGGCATTTCTGTTATTGATGTATTAACATGTATTAGCCTGTTATTATTTTTGACATATTGTTGATGTTGCTTTTTACAGCTGTAACTGGTATTTTTAAGTGGTCTTTCGAATGACAATGTGAAAACAACAGGACAATGTGATGGCTCGCTCATAGTGATGAGCCTACAGAGAATTATCACCTGAATCTGCAGCTTCCTTCAGCTTTACTGAGCTTTATAGCGAGTTTCAGTCCACTGTTTCGCTGTCTGGTCCCTAAAAGTAATGTTCTGGTTCACTCTCATTGCCACGGTTGCAGAAAGTGGTTATTTTTGATGAAAAAGCTCCAGAAACCCAGTGCTCAGCACCTAAGAGCAGACAGACACAGCTAGAGACTGGAGCTGGTAAACATAGCTCCTCATTTAGCAGCTAAAGAGCCAGATAGATATTTCTCTCAGGAGAAAACAGAGCTAACAGTGAGTACTGGACCTACGGTACATTCATTATAACAACTTTGTGTTATCATCTTGACAGGTGATGTGTTTGATGTTTGATGTATTCACAACTTGTTTCTGCTGCCCAAAAAAAAAAACAGAAAAAAGACGGAATCACCTGACGAAGTTGATTTTGTGAATTTGTTACCAGTCTGTTACTGTGCATGACCAGCGGACACCGAGCAATGTTAGTGTTCTTTTGGAGCTGTGTTTTGGGTCACCTGATGAATCCAATCTCTTTTACTAGTCTGGTCTTCATCAACCCCTGAAGATAATATCTGATAAATGCTCCACTATGTTCACCAGTCATTACCTTTGTCTGTGTGTCATTTTGGTGCTTGACAGTTATTGAACCCATTTTTTTAAGCTGCCCTGCTGAAAACAAGATACAGTGGATCAAAACAGTAAAGGTGCAAAGTGCAACCAAAACAATCAGCTAAACAGAGCTGTGCAGAGCTGAGAGACACTACAGTCTGGTGATAATTCTACCTTTCATGTAATTATTTAATGCATTGTTAATATAAAACTCTTAGCCTAAATGAGTAGAGAACCTTTAGGTAGACAGTTTGAGCAGCCCACCTTCTCCACCATATTCTGTATTTATAGATTTTGCCATTTTATCACAATGTGACCTGTTTGTTGTCTTTGTTACAGCTCGCTTCATTCTCCCAGCTTCGGTTTTCTGATGGAAACCATATGGTGAACACCTACAGACCAGTGCAGCCCTTGAATGGAAGGCAGGTGTATTACTCCAGGGGTCATGCTGTGCTCATCAGCACTGTGTTACTCTTCATGTCAACACTGCTGTCCAGCGCCCTGTCCCTGCACACTCAGCCTTTATGAAGAAATACTGCCGTCTATGTTCATTAATTATTGTCAAATACAGTGCATGTATATATGTACTGTACATTTAAAAGTCAATTATATGTGTGTGTGAATCTATTGTATATTGTCGGCAAAGCTGTAAAAACGGGTCTCGGAGAGAACCAAAGAACAGCCCAGGAGACACAGGCCATAACAACAGTGCAGGCCTCTGATGATCTGGCATCAGAAATGACCTTACAAGAAGAGCTGCAGGAGACTGTTGAACAAATTGTCTCTTTGCAGTTAGAAGTCCCATAAGAGGAGCAAGAATGGTTGCTAGAAATATTGGAATTGCCACTAGAATGTAAGGAGATGACAGATAGGCCCGAGGATGCTGAAAATGAGCTGTGTGAGCCATAAGGAACTGCACCGGTGACAGAGAATGTGTCAGTGCAGGAAGAGGCAGAAGAGGTTATGGGGGAATTGAGGGAAAGCCTGTATTCCCCTATCACACCCTGTCCAATGCAATCAGCTGACTCCTCCCAGGAAGAGGATGCTGAATATCTGGATGAATGGCAGGCCTAATCTGATGTTGAAAAAGAGGAGGGAAACAGCAAGAGGAGCTGGAAAAGGGAGAGAAATAATTAAAATTCTATGGCAAAATGTATAAAATAGAAAGTTAAGATATTTAGTAAGTAAGGATAATCACTGGTTATAGGTCAGCAGTGGTCAAACACAACAGATTTGGGGATTTATTTTATCTATTATATATTTGGAAAACAAAGTATTCTTATGCATTTTGTATTTTAAGCACATAAGTACTAACCACATTTGTGTTGTGCAAGTATGAAAATTCAAATTACTTGAACCTATGGGACTTCAACAAACAGTTTAGATGGTGTCCTTCCTCAAAACTGTAAAGCCAGTGACAAGAAAAACGTCACTGGTGAAATGCATAAAACTTGCTAAATAACAAATTGTGCATGAATGTGGGATGTCCTGTATACTTGACCCCTCTGTGTAAAATGTGGCCCCTGATTTAGAAAAATCCAAGATCTGCCCCTGGGTCTCAGATGTTTGATACTGGAGCTGAGTTTATGTCCTCCATTTGGTGATGTGTGATGTGTGTTGCCATTTTTATAGCCTTGTCTTTGACAGTCTTTGTAGGAAGGAGTGTATCTTTAATCGTCTTAAGTATCTCAGTTTTGTTTTTAAAGTCTACAAGCAAATCTGTCCACACGGTATTAAATCCTCTGCTTTCCTCAAACACTGCTGCTGCTTTTCCTTCTTTTTTGTTTTTTTTTATTTTTATTTTATTTGGAATCCATAGCTAGCTTAGAAACATGTTCATTTAAGCCACCACTCCTGAGCCACTCCTGAGTTCAGCAAAGAGGTGCCAGGCCATGATGTAGCATGACATAGATTTTAGTTGATGAAGTGTTAAAAACATTTTTTAGTTCGGTGTATAGCCTCCAGAGCCAGGAGTCAACAGGGAAGGACTAGGGAGCCGTGGGTACCCAACCCCTGGTCTGTGGGAACCTCAGCAAAAGCATTTCCTTTCCCGCTGATAATCAGACTGTGTTCCATTTGGCCGTGCTGGCACGCCACTTGTTCCTTAGCAGAGAACAGACAGCACATGATGGCAGTCTTCATCAACTGATAATGATAATTCCAGGCTATTCTTTAATATTAAGGAACATAATGTCTCTGATTTTGAACACAAAGTGAAAAGCCTAGCCTACCACTGACTATCACTGACTGAGTAATGCCCCAAAGAGCCCAGATACCAGGACACCATCTTAATATCAAGTGTGGTGTTATGGGTTTTTCTTAATTCAGTCATGGTTTTACACTGTCTAGATTAAGGAATGAACTGTCAAGCTCTACATGATTCAAATGTTCTATCTGCAGAGTTTCTGATTCATAATCAATAGTTGTAGGCTGCTGGGTTAGGGTGCCCACATTTTCTGACAACAAACAAGCTGCTGCTCTTCATCATTCTGGGGGACTTCACTGTGCTTCATGTTGGCACAAGCTGTGTGTGCCGGATTTACAGTCATGGCCAAAAACATTGCATTTCTGTCAGATAACTCATCACTTCTCTCTGAAAATTGCTGCAATCGCAAATTCTTTGGTATTCTCATGTTTATTGTTTTTTGTTTGCGTTAGAACAACACAAACAAGCCAAATCTGATCCATTCCACACAGAACTCCAAAAATGGACTGGACAGAATTATTGTCACCTTTTCACATTCATCAGAAATAGTTGTATTCCAAGCAGGTGATGCTCCTTTAATTTGTAATGAAACTCACCTGTAGCAACCAACAGGTGATGATGATGTAGAAATCACACTGGGAACCAGTTAAAATGGAGAAAAGTTGACTTGACGTTTGTGTCATGTGGACCACACTGAGCATGGAGAAAAGAAAGAAGAGCAAAGAACTGTCTGAGGATGTGAGAAGCACAATAGTGGAAAAGCCTGGACAGTCTCAAGGCTCCAAGTCCATCTCCAGAGATCTGGCTGTTCCCGTGTCCACTGTGAACAACATTGTCAGGACGTTTACAGCCCATGGCGCTGTAGCTAATCTCCCTGGACGTGGATGAAAGAGAAGAACAGATGACAGATTGTAACGAAGGATTGTTTGAATGGTGGATAAAGAACCTTGATCAACTTCCAGATAAATTCAAGCTGACCTTCAGGCACAGGGTGCAACAGAGTCAGCCCACACTGTCACCATCTAAATGACAAGGGATGCTATGGTAGGAGACCCAGGGGACCCACTGCTGACACAGAGACATAAAAAACCCAGACTGAAGTCTGACCAAACTTATCTGAGGAAGCCACAGTCCTTCTGGGAGAATGTCCTGTGGACAGATGAGACTAAAACAGAGCTTTTTGGTCGAGCACATCATTCTACTGTTTTCAGAAAACAAAATGAGGCCTTCAAAGAAGAGAACACATCCCTACAGTCAAACATGGTGGAGGTTCACTGATGTTTTGGGGTTGATTTGCTGCTTCAGCCACTGGATGTCTTGACTGTGTGTATGGCATTATGAAATCTGAAGACCACCAATGAATTCTGGGGCCCAATGTAGGGCCCAGTGTCAGAAAGCTGGGTCTCTGTCAGAGGTCATGGGTCCTACAGCAGGACAATGACCCACACTTCAGAAAGGACCAGAAATGGTTTCAGACAATGAGCTGGAGAGTTCTGAAATGGCCAGCAATGAGTCCAAAAATTGAAAATGAAGACAATTTTTCATTGTCTTATTTCCCATTCCATAACAGATTTGGATTGAATGGAGAATACATGGATTACCCTTTCAACATAATGTGTAGCATTTATCATAATAATACAGTAGGTGATATAAATTGAAGGGACAAATACTGCTCTGTGTATTTTATTAAAAACCTTCAGGACCTTTGTCAATGCAGAGTACAACCAACCAATGTGTGTTATTGCCATCCTGTGGACAAACTGTCTTACATTAGCATTTATGATCCTCCAAATCCATGAGTGTCCTGTGTTGGTGGTGTCAACACAGCCTGTATACAGTATATACAGACGACCAGTGCTGGCCTCCCTCAGAATAACTCTGCCTCAGCTATATGTGGCCTCATAATCCTTAAGACGAGCGCTGCTGAGGTCTCTCCCTGCTTGTCAGTCCAAGTCCTATAATGAGACACATAGGAGTTTCCCCTCCTTAGAGCAGCAGGAAATCCTGCAGATGAACCACGACTGCCCTCAACACAAGACACCAATGTGTGAGTACACAGTACCAGTAACTACTTTATATTATTTGTAATACATTTTTATAGCTTTACATAGTGCAAGGCCATAGATTTTTTAAACTTCTGTACATACTGAGACCTGTGTATTGTGTAGGTTCTGTGAATTTTAAATGTTCTCCTTTGTAGTTTAGGCAGCAGTGAATGGTCCTAGAAAGGAGTTGAATCTAGTACTAGACTGTTGTCAGAGGATGGGATTTCAAATTTTCTGTGAATTTGTTTTTCATTTCTGTTCACCTTAACTTTTGTCTGAGGCTTGTGCTGTCTGTTTAACACAGTTTCAGGACAACACAACAGGTGGACTGTTTTCAAGTGTCAGTCTGCAGGTTGCGAGCCATGAGACTCAAACAGTAAATGAAGTACTGTAAATACATTAGGTCTACAAGTGACATGTATTCAATATTATTAAGTGTAATTAAATCAGTCACAGTTGTGGTAATACTCCCCAGAACCTAAACAGTTTCATGTGCGAAGTCTTTAAACAGACCGTGTGTATTTTCTCTCTATCTACCACAATGCCAGTAATTGTCATTTGTGCACTGTGAAGGATGGGTTTGCACAGTGTTGATGATTGCTTGAGAGAAGTATCAACCTGACATTAAAAATAAGAGAGTGAGCTGCCACAAAGCAGTGCCTGGGTGAGCAGACGTGTCAGAGAGTTCAACCCAGAAGACAAATAGTGACAACATATTATATAAGGCTGCTGTTTGGTACAGTAGGTGACTCTCAGTCTGGATTTTGTCTCCACATGACAAAAACATAAATGTGGTAGAAAACAAAGTCATCGTAGACAGTTAAGTGTCAAATCTCTCACACTCACACTTGTCAGTGTATGTGATGCTCTGCTTCCATGACCTTCAGTGCAGTGACACGTCCTCTGGCTGCCTGTGGGATGTTCAGCTGTGAGTGAACGAGGACTAAAGACCATGAGTGCCGACACTGCCTGCAGGTCAGAACTGGACTCGGAGCACCATGGCGAGCTGGCAGACTTGGTGGCAGCCATGAACGTGGCCGCCAACCGTGCAACCCCGCCTAATGGCTCCAGGTCCGGTGCTCCAAGGCTCAGGAAGATGTCTCTGCAGGAGAGAGGGAGCCGCGTGGCCCGACAGCCAACCATCGAGACCAAACGTGTGTCCATCACAGACACTGATGTGAGGACTCCTGAACTGACTGAAGCCTCATTCAGCATGTTATTCATGAGATGTTTCACTGACCGAGTTCTCCCTGTAGGACTGTGTCCAGCTCAACCAGTACAAGCTGAAGGAAGAGATTGGAAAGGTGCTCAGTAAACACATAATCTCTCACTGATCCAGATGACAGATGGATTTTAATAATGTTAGTCACATGTTATTTCTTCCACCCCAGGGTTCATATGGAGTGGTGAAGCTAGCTTATAATGAAGACTCTGAGCAGTACTATGTAAGTTTAAGCTCATCAGTTGTGCATTTGTGGTCACAGCATCATTTTGTCTGACCGATATTTGCTTCATCTAATTTCTTCAGGCAATGAAAGTAGTTTCAAAGAAGAAGTTGATGAGGCAGTGTGGATTTCTGCGTGAGTGAAAAGCTTCATCTAACTTTTATATGTCCACTAAGTATTTGCCATTCCTGCAGTGTTATGTTTGTGCGTGTGTGTTTGTGTGTACTTTCAGGTCGCCTGGCTGCTCAGGGATCAAACATTCAGCAGG